CGAGCATACCATCTGCATCAAATTTGTATGTAAATACCCACTTCAATGGCAAGATCTGGGTGCTCTTTTTGTTCGGTAATGCAACCTGAGAGAAGGTCTCTTTAGCCTTTAAGGTCTCAATTTCAAACTCCGCAGCTGCCTTCAATTGCGTGGCAAAGGGATGGATTTTTAGCTGCTTCCAGTTCTCTGGTGGTGGAGGCATCTGATCTCTATGCAGTCTGTTTTGCATATTGAGCTTCTTCGTAATACCTGTTGTAAAGGCATATAGAAGGCTTGGTGGCTCGGCTAGCTGTTTCTCGTCTAGCGATAGATATGCAGTGTAGTCTGGATCTGCCTTTGGCTTCCGTATTCTGGGGCCTGAGATGATGTTAGATTCATCAATTGACGCAGAGATCTCTCTAGTAGGCCGATCTTCTGGCTCTGGAGTAGGCGTATACTGCATCTCTTGTTGCAATTGACGCTCTATCTCTGCTTCATCTTCATCATATTGATCTCCCTCTCCCCCTTCAGCTTCGATCGACTGTATGACATTGATCGGATCTGGCGAAGATAGCGAGGTAGGAGATCTCTCATGTGGCGTACTCTCAATCGTAGCAATCGACGATAGTGCTCTTTGTGGTGAGGCTCTCTGTGGTGACATAGGGAAGCTCCCAGGGATCTGTTCTTGATCCCTTACCTCTATCATTGAGATATGTTCTACCACTGAAGCAGGGCCTGCCATTGAAGCCGGTGTTAAAGGTAAAACAGGTGTTTCCTTTAAAGGGGGGACCCTTGGTGTCTCCTCCCTACTATCTAGAGTTTGAGCTTGCTCCACAACTCTAGATTCCTGGATTTCTTCATTTACCGCCTCTGGTGCAGTACCTTGTTCTCGGTTTTCGACGTCATCATTGAGAGTTATGCGAGCAATTGACATCGGCATACGCATCTCTATGCTCAATTCTGACTGCGCTTCTTCCATTGAGAGCACTTGGGGCCAGTTCTTAGCGCTTAGTCCATTTGTCATAGTACTAATTGCATCTTCTTCTTGCGGTAAAGGCTTCGTTTTAGAGTACTGTCTCGATTCATCGAATACAGCATCTCTTACAACTTCAACTCTGCCTATGCCTGCTCGCCCTTTGTATGGAAACCAGATCTTGTATAGGCTCTTTGAAACATAGCCTACAAGATAGCCGATCTCTGCTCTCGGAGCCATCTTGTTAGATTGTACTCTCTTCAGAAGCCTTGAGTACGTTAAGCACCCATATAGCCTCATATTCGACAGGTTGACAATTTGATCTTTTAAGCCATCTGGAGCCGCATAGCGCATCAATTCCTTCCATGGTATGATCCACTTACCATCCATCTTTGTAGGGGTACGATTCATCATATATGCAGATGCATACATCGTCTCTGGCCATAGATTGTGGGGTAGGTTCGTACCATTGAGCAATGCTCTGCCGTTCCTTACTATCATGCCTCCAGATCTCTCTGCTGGTCCATTCATCTCTGGCAAGCCAGGTGGTGCATGCTCAATGGTACACCCTTCGTCTTCAATCATAGATTCAACCTCATTGCCGGCGCTTCTCTCATTATCATAATGAAATACCCTGATCTCGATTTTCAACCAGTTTCGGATCAATGCTAAGAATTTACGAACTGCCATCTGACACTCGCTCTTCTTTATATGGGTAAATACGAAGTGACACCTTATTCCATCGAGATAGAAGTGCGTCATCCATATATGACCGTTGTAGGCAGGCTGGTTTTGTACTAGATCGAAGTGTACTCTCCCTAATATACCATATGCCTGGCCTATCTTCCGGCGAGAGATTTGCCTAGGTGCATCTGCCAATTGACAAGCTTCACATACCTGCATTTCTTTGCCTGGGTTGCTTGCAATAGTGATTCCTTCAGTCATCTCTGCCAGTTTGACAATTCGCGCCTTGCCAATGTGGCCTAATCGACGATGCCAGAGCTCAATTGAAGCCTCAGATTTTGGCTCCTGATTGGATTTCTTAGTGGCAAACGTCATTTCAGGCTTCAAATCTGATGCCTTTTGGGTTATAAAACCCCTTGTCTGGGTGAGCCATGATAGCTTCTGATCGTGGTAGATCTTATAGATCTGACGATGGCCATCAATTGTCTCAATGCAGTTTGCTCTGAGATTCATTAATAGGCCCCCCTTCATCATCAATCCATGAGATATCAGATTACTATGGAAGTTTGGCGAGTACCTAGTTTGAAATAGGTTCATCTTAACGGCGCTTCCAGTGGTAGGGTTTACACCATAGATGACCACAGTGCCTATACCGGCCACCTTCGTCTCTGTATCTCCCACTTTGACGTTGCTCTGTACGCTTTCAAAGGTGCTAAACAAGCTCCGATTGTTGCATACGTGGATTTGAGCACCTGTATCAACTACCCATCTGTCTTCTGTAGGTGTAGTTGTGGCTTCAAAATCCTTGATTTTTGTTGACATAACGGTGTCAATTTTGACTGCGTTGGTTGTCAAGAAGCCAAAGGCTTCATCGTCGAGGGTTGTATTCGCTTGCTCTTTAGCAAGGGTCCCCCCTTGGCCTTCTGCATATGCAGCTCGCTTCTTGTCGACAATTGCCTTCCATCTAGGATTAGCCTTCATGGCCTTCTCCCACTTCTGTTTCAATGCCGGTGAGGGCTGGTAATTAGCAGGCCTTCTATCTTCATAGATTTCCCAGCAGGCCCAAGGCATATGAACTCTCGATTTTACCCTGCCACATGGACATGGCCTTCTTTCTAGGCCATCATTCCTTGCCTCTATAGGCTTTGCTTCTTCATTGCCTTGCCATGTCGAGAAAGCAGCCTTTGAGATGCCTCTTTGCGCAGCCGGCCTGCCATGGGTAATCTTCCAGTGGGCTTTGTACCGAGTCATGATTTCGAAGAAAGGGATGTCCTGATTATCCTGTACTCTGAGAGCCCATGTTTCATAGAATCCAGGCGACATTATAGAGATTGCTTCAAGGAATTGATTCGTGGCATCCTCTGCTTCTGGCATCCTTGCCTTCTTACACGATTGGTAAAGCGATTCCCAGTTTAGAAGCCATTTCTCGATATCGGTGTTCCGATCTAGGCCTCTATCTAGGTTCCGCCACTGTTGACGGAGCTTAGTTTTGTATGTAGGATCGCTCTCTGGTGCAAATCGTTTGTGGAGATTGAGCATCAGCTCCAAAGGTGATGGTATATCAATGATAAAGGGCTGGTAGGGAGTATCAACTGACTGCCTAATTGCCACCGCCACTAGATCTAATGCCTGTAGTTTCGACTGATAGGCTCTGTTCTCTGCATCCCAATCTGCTTTTAGGGATAGCCTCACATTGAACCAGTGTTCTGGGTATTCTTTTATGGCATCTTTGACAGAGATGATCTCTTCAGGTGGTTCCAATTTAGGACGTTCTTCCTCCTTAAGAGACGGATTGCATTGATCCCATACTTTATATGCAACTGCAATTGCTTTAATATATGAGAGCCATGCATCCCATGATTCTGTATCCTTCAAAATGACGCGGGAGGAGGCCGCGGAGAGGCTTGACATGATATTCATTATTGTCGATTTTCGTCGATGAATCTGATCTTCTTCGAAGGAGATAGGGGTGCTTCGACGATTCAGGGGTTGACCGTTGTCAAAACCACTGTGAATCGGCGACAGCTAGGTAAAAGATGGTCTATATGTTGTAGACAGATCTTAATTGGAACGAAGCCGGGCTCATAACTGACAGAAATAGACGGATACGACAATGTATGGTAAATCTGACATATGTAAATTCTCTAACTAACTAAAATGACAAGATCCGCTCTTTTCCAATCTCGGCGGACATAGCTGATTAAGCAATGTATGTATTTTTGTATGGTACCGTTATCATGACGGTCCATTGATTTTCCGGTTTGTAAAGACCTGGTAATTTCAGCATGCATAAATGCATAGTACTTGACAACATGTTTCAATGAGTCGTGGGACTTTGTGGGCATAACTACCTAGCCACACTCCACATAGCATATGGCTGGCCCTTGATAGACCACACTACGCAAATAGTTGGGCGTTGCAAATGTCAAGTTCAAATAGGTCGGGTTATCGTGGTTATCCGGGGAATTTTCCTGTCTATTTATCAAACGGGAAAAACGGGAAAAGAAATCCGAATCCAGGCCCTAAAATACATCTCCGTAGTCTGTTTCGATACAGTATCTGCTTTGACGCTTTGCAGATCAGTACTTTTCGAGTCTCCACAGAACTTGGAAGTTGGGCCTCCACTTTTGACGCGCTATAGTCAGTTACATACATGGTACGCAGTAGTTAGCGCACCTGAAAAGATCTGTTTATAAATCTTCAAGTCAAAGCACAATTTGGTTCGATACTAACTGATCGGCAGTCGGAAGCTGGCCAGAGGCATCGCTACTGTGGGATCATCGCCGCATGCTCTCTCTCTTTCACTTGATCTGCTTCCTCCCATACGAAATTTCCTGTAGAAAACCCCCACATCTCCTGCTTCCCCTGTGGCTCGTAGGTTTCATTTGACAAATTTGCCATACAAAAACCTGGGGCTAGCCATTGGGTCCATATTATAGGGTATTTACTTCCCTTTTATGTGACCAATGACCTTGACTGACCCGAACTAAGCCCCCAGAAAAAAAGATGTCCAGGCGATCACCAGGGGAACCTGAATATACCCATTTTGCTATGATCTACATAGATAACGATGGAAATCTTTGCCAAAGAGCCTCTGAGTCTATTTCAGAGAGCCGCGAAACCATTCTCTCTCCTAGAGTCACGGGGGAATTCCTCCGAGCGGTGGCAATGTCGAGAGAAGCGGCCCAGGCAGCACAATCTCAAGGTAGGGGTTCTATTTACCCCACATGAGGTGTTTTTTTATTGATTTGGAACAGTTTCTCCCCAAGTCCCAGTGTCTAGCGGGGAGCTCCCATTTAACAACCACAGCTCTGCTCTGTCGCAGGGGGTGACCTATAGTGAAATGGGGGGTAGTCAACACAGGATGCAAGCCCCATTTCAATCAGACCCCTCGTTTCAGCCGACAGTGTGGCCCTCAAGCGAGCCTTGGCCTCTACAAGCCAGCTCACAACCCAAGAAGGATTTCGGAGGTCGGAACCTCAACTTGGCTCTACATCAAAGAGCCTCAATCTCTGTAAAAGAGAGAGGTCTTTTGCGTCTCTACTATGAGAAAATCTTCCAAAACTTGCAACAAACAAACTGCCGAATCATTGCCAAAGCCTACATCAAATTAATTGAGCCGCGCAAGCAAGTCAACTACCCATACAATGGACGGAAAATTGTTGAAGGGAGAACCCAGCAGCTGAATCCAGAGGCAACCAAGCCACCGTGGTGGCCGCGTGGAGTGAGCCATCGGGAGCCGGATCATCTTCCCAAAGTTGGTAAGACAACACTATCCTTCCAAATGGCCTACTAAGCTGACAATGATCAGAACGGATTCGACTTTTGGTGTACATGCTCTGCGAGATGCGCGAAAGCCACGGGATCACAACTGCCAGGCTAAAACAATGCGATCAGCCCATCCGCCGTCAAATCCTCCCGGTCGAGCGACTACAAATCCTGGACGAGGCATACCGAGTCCGCGAGGAGGAGGAAAACTTCATCGATGGGATTTCAGGTACATACTTGCACGCATTCTTCTAAAGTTCCCAATGCTCACATGTGTTATCTAGATGGAAAACCCGTGTCTATAGCTCGCACCAATCTTCCTCAAATGACAGAAGATACATCCAGCGGACAAAGCTCGCCAATCGAATCAGTCTCTTCTCGGAGAATCGTCGAGTCTGAGTGCAGCGATGGAATCTCTAGCCTCGATATAACCCAAGCTACCTCTAGAGACATCTCGAGGGCGTCATCATACAATCCTTCCAATCCTTACAGCCCAACAATGCATTTGGCCCCAAACGCCCAATACCAGTCTGTTGGCCCTTCTACCAACATGTCCACATCGCCATTGGAATTGAGGCCAAAACACGAATCACTATCTGCCGGGGCGCATTTGATTGATCAAACACGTCCCGTTAGTATGGAGCACTATCCATATCCTGGGGTTTCTGGTATTCCACCAACCCAGATGCAGTTCTATGGTAACCCTAATTTTTCCCCAGAACGCAGGTGTTCCAATCACCCATGCGTCGGCAGAAAACTTGTCAACAGAGGCAATGATGCCATACGGCCACCCCTACTATTTTAACTATTGAGCGGTAAAATATGGGCCAGAGAAATATAATGTCTGTTTACGATCATAAATTTTGTTCGGGTTGCAGTGGAGTACGACTCTGACTCGGATAATTCCTTACAAAGTAAGCCTGAGGTGATGCTTCTTTCAAAGAAAACACTAGTTAGGGTTGTAATCCACAATGAGGTCAAGTTTGTGAAATTCAAAGGCGGATCGGTACATGCTGGCTTAGTCCCCTTCATCAACGGAAATAATTGCCCTGGCAAGCCTATAGACACTGCGAGTACCACTCAGTGGCGTATTTACAGGTCCCACTTGCGCAAGTTGTGCCTCCAGTCCAGCCCGAGCCACCACACTGACCATAGAGAGGGACGCCAGTAGTACCACCGGAACTGGAACTAGTTGTGGTAGTAACAAAAGTAGACGTAGTGGAAGTGGTAGAAGTTGTACCACCCAGAGCAGCTAATATACCCGCATAGGCGGGCTTCTTCGCCAGGTTCGCATCCCACGGACACGCATCACCCTGACCAGAGAACGTGTTAGGAACCCAAGAGTACTTGTCAGTGTAGTCCCAAATAGTAACTCCAACACACTTGGCGTTTGCCACACACGCTGCAACGGTATTTTGGTAATCAGTCGACTGTTGGGTAAGCAAGGCAGCAGTTGATGGTAGAGTCATACGGATGTCGAGTTCAGTGTATGCAACTTCGACACCTAGGGCTGTGAACGCAGCCAAGTTGGTAGTCTGCGCGCTCTGACTAGGGGTACTTCCGACAATGAAGTGTGCCTGTAGGCCGACGCCATCAATCTTGGCCCCATACTGCTGCACGAGCTTGACGATTCTTTGGGCACCTGTTGACTTGGAACCAGCTGATTCGATGTTGTAGTCGTTGTAGTAGAGCTTGGCAGCTGGGTCTGCGGCAGCTGCTGTTGCAAATGCGATGGGAAGGTATGCCTCGCCGATGTATTGGTAGAAGATATTGTCACGATAGGTACCGTCCTCGTTGAGAGCTAGCAATCCGTATATTAGCTACTTGATGATTATGATGATATCGTTGGTTTTAGGTTCCGCACTCACCTTCGTTAGCAACATCCCAAGCATAACATTTGCCTTTGTAGTGAGTCACCACGTTGGTAATGTGGTTCTTCATGGCAGCAAGCAGAGTTGCGTTAGTCCAGGAGCCGCTTGAGACTATTTCACCATTAGATCGTCCATTGAAAGAATACTCGAGATAACAAAACTTACCCCAGCTGGGTAATTGGCTATGCCAAACCAGAGTATGACATCGCAGCTTTTGGCCATTTGTAGCAGCAAGGTTGGCAATGTCATCTCCTTTGGTATAGGAGAAGGTATTTTGGGAGGGCTCACTTGCATCCCACTAGCAAGAATTAGCGAGGGGCTGAATAGCACGGCAAGGCTTGTCCAACCTTCTGTGCATTTCCGGGAGTAATTTGACCAAAGTCATCTGTGTTGCTCAATTGGGCAAGGTATGGAGCATCAGTCAACTCGGGGTTATCAGTGGCAGACCCGAAGTATAGCTTTCCCTTTGCAACGGCAGCGGTGTGTAACCCGGCTCCTTGAGTCCTATTGAAAAAAAAGGGCATCAATGACTGTCAAAGTATGTTATGAATTGAAAGATAAACTATACAGCTGAGGAAGAACACTGGCCAATGCCAGGGCAATAGTAGAGAAGTGAACCATGACTAGGTAACCAACGCCAGTAATTGAAGTGATCACAGTTTAAACCTGGAATGAGGAATACAAAGGGTTGATTGAGCTCCTTTTATAGTCGGAGATAAACAGCGATAGCTAAATTGTCAGGGTCTTACAATTTCCAGGGCTCCGGCGCTAGGGAGTTTCACATTTGACAATGCTGGCGGACCAACTGGCCGTGGCGTAGTTGTCGCGGCCTTTTCGAATAGCCAAATGGGCTTGATTTCTACTGAGATGCCTAATGAGCATGAGCTCCTGCATGAAATTTGTCACTTTAGCCAGAGAAATAGACCCGGGTCTCGGCGTCACATGGTGAATAGTGCAGAGAAACGAATAAAGAGACAGCGGAGCAAATTCCGTATCTTCTTCAGGGCAAAAAGAGGCGTTTTTCATATTTCTCCGTGAAGCTGAAGAAAGAGACCGGGTAAATGCGGGTTTCTCCGCTTCCACACATCCGGGGAATCTTCAAGGCTGTCGATCATCTCTTTTTCTCTTTCGACCTCTCTGTACATCTTGGGGTACAAAATAGATACTTGATTTCCTCGGGGATCTCTTTCCGTATTAGTGCTCAGGCCTTGCCGCTTTTGGCTCTCTGAGCAGAATCTGAATGTCGAGGTGAGCAGCGTCAATAATAAAATGCAACTAGTCACATAGCCTCGATGCGTTTAGTATCAATTAATCTGTGTTAGCGGTCTTCTTTTTCCCGATCCATACTGGTATATCCAAACAAAAATATAGTGAAATGATTCCTTGCTTGTGATAATCATTTTAATCTATTCCCCGAAGCGAAGCAGTGGACTGAGGGAGAATCATGGAAGTAGCAAGCGGAGCAGCTGGCTGACTCGGTGATACAGGGGAATTCTCTATTATTCTGATTGGCTAGGTCAATTTGTAGATCTGACCGCCGTTGCGTTTTTGTCTTGTTTACACTTCTATTCTTGTACGCGATGGAGATCCGACAGAAAGCCCTAGGAACCCGGATAATCACCTGAATAATAGAATCCTAGGAGCTACATATATTTTACGCATGATAGTCCTGACAGGCTAGCACTATGCTTTCTACGCCTCAGAGGGATCTGATGGCGGAACCTGCATAGCAGCATATATGTAAAGCAAACTAGATCAGGTATATGGCTTATTAATTGATGGATTGATTCAAATATTGGCAGGATATCCAAGTGACCCGCGGGAATTCCAATTTTCATGCACGTGAAATGTCGAGATCTATGCACAATCATCTAGTTGAGGGTCTTGCTAGCATCATCCGGAAACCATTGACCGTTATCTTTCATCTTAAGAGTTTCTGCCATGATTTTCTCCTTCGAAGATTTCGGTACTATGATAACGTCAGTGAATGAATATAACGAGAAAAGGAAGAGACGCGATCGATATACCTCTGTATAAACGAACCCCTATATAAATAAGAAAGGCAAGAAAATAGAATACCACCGAAAGTGAGCAAAGGGTCCTTGGTATTGTCCCAAGACTGAAATAGAAATCTCGTATATAAGAAATTATTGTTCGCAGAATTTCATCAGCTGAGTATGACCGGGCTATTGAAGAATGAGTAGCTGGTATTGAAGATTATATGGTAGAGTTAATATACCTTGCCATAGAAATTTCATTAAAAAGCCAAACAATGAAATCATATATGTCACCACACCAATCAAGTAAACGGTTTTTTGTCCTCTACTGAATCCCGAATGGAAGTTTCGTGAGACCCAGATTACTGGTGCCCCCATGAACAGATATATGAAGGCAAAGAAATCAGCTTGAAGATGGTAAAACCTATATCAAGTCCTATATATAAGCAATAGATCGTAAAAGAGACGAGCAAAGCCCACTAACGTACCTGTAATATGTTCCTGCTGGTATAATATCACGCTGAGAAATAAAATTGTCTAGTAAGGTGTGGAGAAGACGATCCCTTTTGATTATATAAGTCCTGACCATTTGCCGGCGTGGCTTCTCGCGAGATGAAGGCACTCAATTCTGACCAGAGGCCGCGTACACAGGGCACTAGTCAGTGCCATGGCGGATGAAAACTCTTGATTAGTGGAGCTCGTTTTAAGGCTAAGCCTGAGGCTAGCTTTTAGCTTATAGTAGTCGAGATTCATTGATAAGCCTTCAGGTTAGTAGTTTTCGGATCACCAGAGATACAAATGCATTAGTACTGATAATTTTTGAGAAACCAAAAAGGAAATCGCTGTTGAGAGAGTACCATAGCCCGAGAGGCTAGGAACAATTTGTGACACATTGAGTTCGATTTACTCCGACTTACCCTATAAGACCAGATGCAGGAGTGTGTAGTTAGCAATCAGTCGCTCAGTCTCGTTCCAAGCTTCATTAGCGGTAGAATATCTTCCTCAGTTCGATTAAAAGTCTCAAGATGTTGAGTGGATCTCAATACTGAGTCTCCAACCGGAGCTTTTGACCTTTGAACCTCGCGCTAGTTACATATTCAAGTTTAATATCTCTGCCCACTAGTTGGATTTGAAGCGAGGGAAATTTTGAACAGAGAGGGTAAAAGGTTCAAAGCAGTCAAGAGGGAGGCAATGCACAAGATTCGGCCGTTGAGGGCCTAATTAAATACCCACCGCCACCGAGGGATGTTGCTTTATATTTCTTATCAGTATCACCCCATAGCCATTTAATACTCCAAAGTAAGTCTTCCTGAGTACACCAGTGTCGTGACTATCACTTACCCCCTGGAATGACAGATCTTGATCATTCAGCCAGTTAAGTCAAAATGACGTGGCTATCGCTCCTTTTTGTTCTTTTTACCTCTACAGACCCTGGCCCAGGAGCTTCCAGAAATCACTCATGCGCCAAAACTGATCTAGGCTCGCGTCGAGATGACGTACTGGCAGAATTGGTGTCTCGGTCCTGATGCCATATTAACGGGCGTTTCCGCTATGGGGGCTTTGATTCAGTCTGTCTTATCCTCAATGTCTAGCTCGGATTCTTGTGTGACAACATTTATAATCGTCTCGAGCGCCAAGCGCTCAATCAAGGTTGTTGGAGTCAACGCGGTGACCTATAATCTTGGAGCCCAAGGCTATGCATCTTATGGCGAATGGTATCTCCACGATAATGGAACGCAAGCTTTCGATGATATCTTCACCAATGGTGAGATTCGCCTGGAGAATCTATCCGTCTCCAGCAATTACACTACTGGTCGTGTTTCATTGGAGAACGTAACATCAAGTGACCTTCGCAAACGCACTACCTGGGTCCATAATGAGGTCGAATTCGAGTACCATTCCCGCGCCGGCGTTTGCAAGACGCGCTTGACCAAGGCTCAGCTAAGAGAGGGCATTGATGCGCAATTGACGAAAATGTCGAACGAGAAACAACGTTGCTCGTGTTGGACATACACGGGTAATCATGGCTGGTACGGCGAGCTTAAATTGATGAAGATTGATAACGGAGACGTCAATGAAAGTGCTATGCCAAGAAGTGCAATGCAGATTAAAGGGCTGTATACAGATTACACATGTTTGCTATTCCTGTTATCTCCACCTTGGAGTAGCAGTATTGGGGTGTGATTGACGGGGGCAGTCATCGTGCTTTCCCTATGTACTTTGCAGGGCTCCCCAAAACCCATTGGGCTTTTTAAAAACCTTGGGTCCAAACCTCGGCCCATTTGGGCTTTGGGGGATGCCCAGCTGCCTGAGGTCTGATCAAACCCTGAGTAATCAGAGGGCCTGGCTAAATATATCACGTGCCCGACTCTGAGCACTCTCATTAAAGCGGCGGCATCTGGAATAGGAAAGCCCCGTATACCTAGGTAGTGACCTAGGTAACCTTGGAAGTAGAATATTGCCAAATCACAATCAGAATGAGGTGGGTAATCCAGGTATGTCTTCACCACAGCGTATCCCCTCTTTTGGATAATTGAACATACATTAGCGCTCTGCACACACCATGTGATCATAAGTTGCGATCCACATCGTACGGTCAAGGTCATTCAAATAACAGCTATGACCAATCTGGGCCAATGGATCACTTTCACTTGAGCCTTGGGTATGTTGGATTATGATCAGTGATGGGATCTCTTGTTCCCAGTGATATTTCCGCCTATGATATCTATAAGAATCTGAAAATGCATCTATGTAAACAAGGCTGGCGCTTTTAAGGGGTATCAGAGATTTTTATAACATCATGTTGCTCTGTGGTAGGACCAGAGCAGAGCGTCAAGAGTGGTTAGGGACCACTGTTTCAGCCAAATCCAGACCAGCAGGTCAATGGGTAGGGGGATAGCGCTCCTCCCATGGGTGCGATGATTTTTCGGACGCGAATTCCATAGAAATCCATGGGATGGGTTGAAAATTGGATAGTGGCTTCATGTTAATGAGATACCGCTCAGCCAGTCTTCCGAGCCTTCATCTCTGCGATGAATTTACCGGTCTTAGAGAGAGGCACAACATGGATGCTGACAAGCTCATCCACAACCTCAACCTTGCCACCGGAGAGAATTTGCAACAAAGGCAGCTTCTTGCCAGCCTTGATCAAACCACCAGAGACAGTCTGCATGAAGCATTCAACACCTTCGAGGGTGTATTCCTTCTTGGTATCCCAAGGAAGGGGGAAGATGTAACTCAAATGATCCTCAATGGCGTTCATCTCCGAGAACGCCTTGATAAAGTCTGACTGGGCATCCATGGGGTAAAGGAAAACGACCGGGAACTCGATTGTGCTCTCCGGCGAGAGAGGATCAGGGACGAGACGGATCTTGGCATCTTCCATATCAGGAGGCTGCTCGGTTTTGCGGGTTCTAATCTGACGGGCGCGCAGAGCTGTGCTGAGGACCATATTCTGCTTGCGCAACTTTTCTTCTTCGGCCTTCTTCCTCGCGGCAGCACGCTCCAAGAGGGCCTTGCGCTCGGCAATCTTCCTCGCAGATTCTTTAAGAGCCTTACTTTCTGGGTCGATTGCCAATCCTCGAGCTGCAGCATCTTCAGCCTCGGCAACTTTGTCCAATTTGAAGAGTGCCAAGGAGGAGCGATAGAAGGCCTTCACGTTTTTGGGGTTGAACTTGAGGGCGGCGGCACAGTCGAGAGTACAAGAGCGGTAGTTTCCTGTTAAGTAAATATATTAGCCAATGTCCCATACAGCCAGGAATATAAGACATACCTAGTTCCAAGTTGCACAGTGCCCGGTTGATGTGCGACGCCTCCTCCAATTTGCGCAACAGTGCCGCCTCTTCCTCGGGATCTTCAGGCTTCTCCCACTTATCCTCCTTGGCGTTAATGACAGCAATAGCCTTTGTGTAGAACTCTTTAGCGTCAATCCACTTGAGTTCCTGCACAGCTTCATTGCCTTGTCCCTTGAAGGTATTCGCAACTTCGCCCCTGGTACCTTCGTTCTGCAAAGCCTGGAGGGCATCTAGGAGGACGTTTTCACCCTCTGAAAACCGATTCATGTTAGTTAAATCAAACAATCATGCCCAAGGAATAATCCGACGTACTCTCATCACCCGCATTCTCAATATCAGTCATGAACAGAGGAGTCTTATTCATCATTGCCATTAACTCCTCTGGAGTATGCGACTGGATAGCCGCGATAGCGGGCGGAAGTTCAGGCGCATTGGGATCGGTCTGGCGCGCCTTCAGTGCCTCCTCGTTGATTGGGAAGGGAATTTCGTTTGTAGGGGCGAAGGCGTCAAACCCGGGCTGGGGTAGGCCCTGGGCGACCTCGGGAGGAGCCTTGTTGAGGTCGAGCGACTCATCAAAGTCATCTGGAAGTTCTTCGACGCGCGACATCTTGCAGGTTTGTCACAGGAAAATTGTATTGCTCTTTCGGAGAATTGGAGATCGTCCAAATGCTTAGAAATGATGCCCGCAATGCAAACGGTGCAAACAGGAGGGGGTATGATCGGCCCTAAGCCCTATTACCGAATTGGTCGGACTGTAAATGAGATCCAAAGATGTAAGATTTATGAAGAAGAAGGAGTTGAAATAAAGTAGGCGATTGTAGGAAGATTTTTGGGTTTAAAATCATCAAAATATTCCACGATGAACTGGATGTTTCTACGTCGGATAACCGCATGTGGAGAGTCAGATACGTGCCTGAGGTGACAACTTTTCATACTCCTTGGCTATCCGCCTATCGATTTGCTGTTAGGTTATATTATTCCACTATCTAGGTAGATATGCTTCGCTATTGGTATATTTCTATTGGGGATCTTTTGCGACAGAAAATAAGGGCATACACCACACTGTTTGATGCATGACGAGGTACCCTACTACCTAATATTAGAGTAGACAGTCCAGGCATCTTCAAGCCTGATCTTGCATACTAATCCCCACAACTGACAGCTCCACAGAAAGTTAACCCGCATATCCCCTTAGCCCTGTGACAGACCTCCGCACATCGGAGGCGATGTCATCGGCGAAAGCCCGACCAAATGAAACCCCGCATCAATCGGGTTGAAGACCGACCTCCGACATAGGCCATATATATAGTCCTGGGTGCGAGGAGTATCAGAAGAATCTGATTTACCCCAGATAGCCCTTTGTAGCAACAAATACCATAGCACTATGGCGAAAAACTTCAATATCCTCGTCCTACCTGGCGATGGCATCGGCCCCGAGGTCATGGCCGAAGCCGTTAAGGTTCTCAAGGTCTTTGAGACCCCCCAACGCAAGTTTGAATTGCGCCAGGAGTTGATTGGTGGTTGCAGTATTGATGCCCATGGCAAGTCTGTGACCGAAGAAGTCAAGCAGGCAGCTCTAGACTCAGATGCAGTGCTCTTCGCCGCTGTTGGAGGTCCGAAATGGGACAACCAACGTCGTGGTCTTGATGGGCCTGAGGGAGGCCTACTCCAACTGCGCAAGGCCATGGATATCTATGCAAACCTACGCCCGTGCTCATCTACCTCGCCCAGCGCCTCCATCGCCAAGGAGTTCAGCCCATTCAAGCACGATGTTATCGAAGGGGTTGATTTTGTTGTTGTACGGGAGAACTGTGGAGGTGCCTATTTTGGCCGCAAGGTCGAAGAAGAAACATACGGTGGGCTGAGCTGAGATTCAGTTGATCGAACAGGAATCTAACCTTTTCTTCTACTCCAGCAATGGACGAATGGGGCTACTCCGAAGCCGAGATCCAACGAGTTACCCGTCTATCCGCTGAGGTGGCACTGCGACACAATCCCCCTTGGCCTTTGATCTCACTAGACAAGGCAAATGTACTAGCTTCTTCGCGACTCTGGCGCCGGGTAGTGGACAAGACCATGGCAGCTGAATACCCGCAAGTGAAATTGGTACACCAGCTGGCAGACTCCGCATCACTGATCCTAGCAACGAACCCGCGGTCCTTAAATGGCGTTATCCTGGCTGACAACACCTTTGGCGACATGATCTCCGACCAAGCTGGGTCTATTGTGGGTACGTTGGGTGTGTTGCCAAGTGCCAGTCTCAACGGTCTGCCTGGTGATAAGACGTTGAAGACACGACCTTACGGGCTGTATGAGCCCACACACGGATCTGCTCCGACGTAAGTGCTAGAACTATGCCAAGAAGCCCCGTTCTAACTTTTTTATAGAATTGCGGGACAAAACATTGCCAATCCAGTTGCAATGATCCTCTGCGTTGCGCTTATGTTCCGATACTCTTTAGGCATGGAAGATGAGGCTCGACGTGTAGAGGATGCGGTGCGCAAGGTGCTGGACTCAGGGATTCGGACGCCTGACCTTGGGGGTAAGGCTGGGACTAGAGAAGTTGGCGATGCAATTGTATCTGCACTATAGTTAGTATCTGTGGGTAGAAGATAGGGATGACTATGCCAATGGTTGAATAATATTAGTCACACTGCTCAATGAATCTCACTTTAACAAAGAAAGAAACTGATCAAAGCCAATGTTTGTTACCTGAAAGCTGGGGTTGAAAGAAAAACAACTCTTACCTAAAACCTCACCTGATTTCATAATCTTTCAAGTTTATAATATCCTCTCAGATTTATACCCTTCCTTTCTTCTTCCTTTCTTATTCCTCTCCATGTCCGAGACTTCCATACCCCCAGAGAGTCCAAGAGAAGAGAGCCCACAAGAAGAGTCTCCACAAGAACAGTCTCTCGCAAGAAACAGAGCACTCAGCATGTCAACCGACAAGCCAACCATCTCATCCGACAAGCCAACCATCTCATCCGACAAGCTAACCATCTCATCCAAAAAGCCGACCACCCCATCGATAGCAGCGATGGCACCAGAGCATCCAAGCCAGCAACCAAACACACCAGGATCCTGCGCTCTCCGTCTTGAAAACCTCGAACAACAAACCTCCACCACAAAAGGCGAGCTGATGGCATCAGTCGCAGCAGACATCTGCGCAACCTTCATAAGCATCGCCAAGTACTCTGAAGAAGGCACACTCCAAGCACAGCACACTGGGGTGATCGACAATGTGATCCAGACAATCCGCGACACAGATGTGAAGCAGCGACACTTGCTCGATCGACAAGTTCGTCGAATGCGCAAAGAGAGGAAATGGATCCGGAAGAAGTACTCACGACTGGCTGGTCAGGCAGACGCGCTGGGCCGGGCGTATCAGACGAAGATGCGGAAGTTGAGCACCTCACTGCGAGAGGCACGAGGGGAGGTGGCACGTCTACAAAATGAGCGGGATATGCTGCGAGCTTGTTTGAAGAAGAAAGTACCTGAGGATGCTTCGAATGACAATGTAGATGGCGAGGGAGAGGATGTCGATGGAGAATATGAGGTTGTGGAGGGTGGAGATAGAAGCTTGGAAGGGTGAAGGAGGAAGAGTTTTGATTTCGATCAGAATTTTCTCAGATCTATGAGGTTCCATTGTTCTCTATTTTTTCTTTAATCTCTTCATTTTCTTTGAACTGTTCATATTCTTTGAGCTTTCATGGAACCCTATTCACACTCGCAGCTTTTCTTTGTTTGGCCCTGATTGTTAGGGCAAAAGAGGTCTGACCTTTGTCAAATATGACTCATTTCAACTGTACCTTGCAAATAATATGATAAACGAACATGAAAGACTCGGATTTGCCTATCGATATGAGTGTAACATGAGTGCAATATCCGAACCGCGAAGTCGGCTTATGAGTTCCGAGGTCTGGATCGGCATTTGATTGCGAATGTGACTTTGTAACATATCTTCCGGTTGTTTCAGTGGACTTATAAGATGATAACCACTAAAAATGTGCAACCCAGATCGGAACTGAACAATCCAATCGGAGATTGCAAGTATTGCGAAGAATCACAGATCATAAGCAAAGCGTCCAAGTCCAACCTCGGCATCTTCAATAGGCGCAGGCTGATTCGGCCCGCGGATCCACCGACTTCTCATGTGGAAAGTCCGGGGTCTTTTTTCGGTTCATCTTTTCCTATTCTTTTTCTTGTTCTCTTTCTCTTTTCTTTCCTCATTCTGATCTTCAGTCCTTTCACTTAACCCTCTGCAAATCCATCTCGAAAAAGCCGACGTTGAGTTTGCTCGATTTCCTCCCGATAAACATACCCCGGACCGTGTTATCGGCCGATACCCGACAATGAGCACTCATGACTATGACGCCGTCCGCAAGGACATTGCCGATATCCTGAAGAAGCCCGGTTATGATGACGGCAGTGCAGGACCCGTCTTCGTCCGACTAGCATGGTAAGTAAATATAATTCTCGAAGCCATATCGTTCCCCGGTCGGGGGTCCCCGGGTCAACGGCGATAAGCCCTTGTCAACACAATGTCACTGACAACGATTTCACAAACAGGCACTCCGCTGGCACGTATGACGCCGAATCTGACACCGGTGGCTCTAACGGAGCCGGTATGCGATACGAAGCAGAGGGTGGCGATCCCGCCAACGCTGGTCTGCAACACGGACGCGCATTCCTAGAGCCGATTAAAGAGAAGCACCCCTGGATCACGTACTCGGATCTGTGGACACTGGCCGGCGTAGTGGCGATCAAGGAGATGGGCGGACCGGATATCCCCTGGCAAGGCGGACGAACAGATTTGATCGGCGATACCAAGTTGCCGCCACGAGGACGTCTGCCGGATGGAGCCCAGGGCGCGGACCACCTGCGATTCATCTTCTACCGCATGGGTTTCAACGACCAGGAGATCGTAGCGCTGACGGGCGGACACAACCTTGGCCGATGCCACGGCGACCGCAGTGGATTCGAGGGTCCGTGGGTGACGAACCCTACGCGATTCTCGAACTCTTTCTTCAAATTGCTGCTTCAGCTTGACTGGAAGCCTCGCAAGATGGCGTCGGGTAACACTCAGTTTGTGTATGAGGATCCCGATGCCGAGGAGGATGAGGAGCCATTAATGATGCTGCCGACTGATATGGCGCTTTCCACCGATCCGGTCTTTGCCCCATGGGTTAAGCGGTATGCTGAGGATAAGGAGTTGTTCTTCGATCACTTTGCCAAGGTGTTTGCCAAGTTGATCGAACTTGGTATCCGACGTGATGCTCAGGGTACGGTGACCAACACTGACGGTACTCTTGGTGGGTATGTGTCGGCACCGAAGAAGAGCAACACTGCTACTGGCCCTCCCAGAGCGCGTCTGTAGAGTGGTATCTTGTTGTTTGTTTTTGGCTTGTTTTTTGGATTAATTCCCCACTGCGTTAGTAGATCTGGGACTGCAGAATGCAGGATTCGGACGTGTAAATAGATTATAAATCATAGAATGTGATAAAGATACTGGTGGATGTCAGTACATTTTGTAGTTATTGAAGTAGAGGGATTGTACGGAGTAATATGAAATAGAAAAGAGGGAAAAGGAAAGGGGAAACCCTCAAGTCTGGGGTAGGACTGCGGGGAAACGGGCACGGATATATCCATATTGGGGTGTATAATACTTATGCTAGTATGGATATATACGACGTAGTAAATTTGTTTTTTTAGTATTAAGTATTAAAACGAGTCATTATGACTGTAGAAAGGTACTAGATATGCACTAGATATGTACTACACATGTACTAACTGGTTCTCCGAGTAGTCTGTACTCGTGTTATACAGACTCGGGCCTCGGGTATATCAAATAAGAGTCCACTGATTGGTAGATGGCCATATCAACTAGTATCGATAGTATTAATAGTATTATAATAGTGTATATTGTATATATTGAATCCTATTAAATGAACTAGATAAACTAAATCACAAATCTACTTCATCGGCATCACCGGCATCATCGACATCATCATCATCATCAGCATCACTATCACCAGGTTTCCAAGTTGGATCGGTGTTTTTCTTCTTCGAATTCCTCAATCCCGGCCGTCTTGATACTCTCGGTTTCGCCTCTTGCTGTTTCTTCTGTTCGTCCTTTTGTTTTTGCTGTTTATAATATTCCTCTCTCGTCCATTTCGGGCCATTCTCCTCTATCACCTCTTCACTCTCATCTTCTGCCTCTTCTTCCTTCTTCTTCTTCTCGAGATCGTTTTGCTTCTTTCGCTCTTTCTTCTTCTTCTCGACCTCCTCTCTCTTTTTCTTCTCGTCTTCCTCCTGTTTTCTCTGTTCCGCTCTCTTCTTCTTCTCAAGTTCCTCTCTCCTTTTCCGTTCAAAGAGGTCCTGACTCCGTTGCATCTCGGCATTCTTTCGGTTAATTTCCGCCTCTCTCTCCACCTCCGCATCGTTCTGGTCTATATCACTAAATCTCATCCTTGAGCTGAATGCATGCGCCTTCTCTGTACGCAGGGCCTGCTTCTCCCTTGGGTTCAGAGCCTGCTTCGAAATAGCGTAGGTTTGCATTGCCGACCTCTTGAGTCCATTGCCGTGCCGGTTGCGGAAAAGTCGGCTTCGAAGCTCAGGGATACTCTCTGCATCTGGCATGGGAAAATCTGACCGGCCAGTACCCTTGCCCTTGCGATTGCCTAGTTCGGGCGACTGGGGTGACATAGGTAGCTCGGGGAAGTCCAGAGCTCCTTCCTCGCTAGGTAAACCTGACGGCCACATATCGGGATTTGGAGGGAGCCAGCGTGGACTCTGCATCATCGATTTGAATAGATGGTTCTTGTTTGTATTCTCAGTTGGGTTATATTCACTGCCCGACGGGTCACCAAGTCCATTCACATCAAAGAATGAGGTCAGGTCGAATTCCGGAGGTGTGGTGGTGGTGTAAAGCGACGGATCAAGGAGTGATGGGTCAATGACCAATGGATCAAGAAGCGCCGGGTCAATCTGCATAGGTGCCAGAGGTGGTGTGACAGTCTGTGCAGTGGCTGGGTTGGGAGATGTTCTCGCTGTTGCCCATCCCGGGTTGAAATTGCTGAAGCGTTCACCATTGTGTGAAAGTATACGAGGCCATGGCTCGCGCTGCAATGGAGGAGTTGATCGCTTCCAAGGGATGTGTTCTTCGAGAACGTTCTTGTTCTCGCCCAGGCAATTGCCCAACTCAAGCATCGCGTTGGTGGCTTTGGCCAAAAGTTCGGTGGTGGGATTCATGATTCGTTCATAGAAAAGGAGCGGAATAGCGTGGTGGCTGACCCATTCAGTGGGTACTTTTTCTTCACGTTTAAATGCTGGGATTCCACCGACGATAATCCCGGAATTAACCTGGCTGTCGTACATCATAATATTCCCATCATCTTTCTCGCCCCGTGTCGTATCCGTCCAAAACAAACGAGCATGGGACTCGTTGTTATAAATGCCGCCAAGCCAACGGTAGTGTGCGACCTGTTGCTTGTCTTCGTAGTCTATGTAGTTAAACTTAAGATTCTCCGTGTGATTTCGGATTCGCGTCTTGAGATCAGAGGTTACCACCAGACGCAGCGGGAGTTGACCGATCTTTCGTTCTCCAGTAACTCCCGTCGGATCACCACACTTGTCACACTTGAAAGACTTTCGTGGGTAAAAGCATCGCTCGATCAACACTTGTAGATCTACTCCATTTTCATCACCCGGTAAGTAGCCAGGTAAAATGCACGATCCTTGATGGGAGTTGTAAAACGGAAGCGCGTATTGGCATTTGCAAGGGGTCACTCGCTCAACGTGGAAATAGCGGAATTGAGCGAAGCTTCTCGTGGCCACCGACCAAACCGCCCAGGGAGGAATCGGTTGTCCCATTTTCAAACCGCTTGAGCCATCAATAAACATACGGAGCCACTCATCACGCACAAAGATAGAAGTCTTATCGTCGAAGGTCTCCCAGCTCGCCATTGTCACTTCGATGAATGCTTTTTCGATATCTTTGAACTCCGCCGCTCGATTGTTTGCACGATCTATCTTGGTGCAACCAGCATGAAGTAGCATTCCCGCTACAATAACAGCATCCGTTGCACAAGACATTGAATCCCAGATAGGGCCGCGGCCCCGGACCGGAAATACAGGGCCATTTGGATCCCAATCAAAGGTCAATGGCGACAACTTTACATTTGCCGTGGTAGGAAATGATCCAAGTTTTAGCGAGAGAATATCCTTGTAACACTGGGCAGTCCGGTGGCGAATAGGCTTTTCAATAGACGGAAGGGTGGGATCGCGGTCTAAATCAGCATACACGATCTGCATCACAGCCCGTTCCACGGCATCCGTAATCTCTCGCGTATCAACCGGCCCTAGAGGTTGCGGGACAAGGGGACTCAATTGGTGCCTTCCAATGGGAGCCACTGTATGTGAAGGTGCCAGACCAGGTGCCCAGGTGAAAGTTGTGATATCATCAGCAGCAAAGACGGGCTCTTGAAACGGCGGAGTTGGGGAGCGAGGCCGACCTCGGTAAGCAGGAGCACCGGGTGAAATTTGTCTTGAGCGCTTGCGACGGTATAGCCTGTCTTCGTCTGAATTCCGTTTTTGGCCTGTTTCAGGGCCTGTAATCTTCTTGCCCGGCGGATCGGTCAATGAAAAAGCCGGTTTAAATTGGACTCCTGGGTTCATGTGATGCAACAGATGCATACGGAGGATTTCCTCTTGTTGTGCGGCGACTGTTGGCGCCGGAGGTGGGGGTGGTGTGTGCAAGCTGTCAACTGAGTACATATATTGTTGAATAAGGTAGTCGGGCATGTCTGGTGGCGCGTCATGAGGGCGTATATACGCATTTAAGATACGTGTGCTCACATCCGGAGGAGTATTGTACCACCTACTGAGTGGCCTTGGGCGCGGATCGAGGTCATATCGCAAGAGTCGTGGTCCAGTATCTCGGTTGACATTGAGCATATCTAACCAAGTCTTCGGCCGATGGCGTTCTTGCATGTAGTAGATGAGTTTGAACAGAAGCATCTGTTGAGTTTTGAGATTTGGCTTCTTTCTCGTTGTCATGGGGGTCTTAGTTTGTTCATCATAATGTATTCCCCAGAAGTAATGCTTCATCAACACTTGCACCTGTGGGAGCTTCAAGGAACGACTATGACCCGATGCAACGGCTCTAAACTTGATATTGAAATGTTCCCAGTCGTTAGGTGGATTAGGAAGACGGGTGAAATCGTAAAAAGGTAAAGGTGGAGGTGGGTGGTCGAGCTCCTCCGCCTTCCACGGGAAATCTGAAGGGGGAGGAATCTCGAGCGGAGAGAAATCATTCATCGCGATAAACTGGGAGTTAAAGAATCTGAAAATCTGCCACGACGGGCTCAATCAAGAGCAATATCCTAATATTGGGGTGTCCTATATTGGTCTGAGGAGGTTGGAAACTATGAACTAAAGGCCGAAACGGTGCGAACCAAGTGCTTTAATGGACAACCAGAGGCATCCATTGTCCAACGTGCCAGGTTGAATGCCGCCTTTATCAGTCGAAAGAAATAGAGTCACATATTGTAGATGGTAAGCACGAGATGAATGAACACGCCGAGCGCCCCGGATCGAATACCCATGGTAGTAGCACCCTGTTTCTTGATGAACAAAGCATTTGGATTCCAAACAAGGTATAGGGCCAGGGCAGCATGAGCGTGGGATATTCTATATTTGTCACATCAGCTCATAGTAGCTTGGTCGAGATCAAGTCTAGAGGATATCAAAGAACCGAGTAAAAATAGCAAGGCACTTCTGATATCGACAACAGTGGGTGGGGTTCTGGGGTTCTTTGAACAAAACAAAGAACATAAGTTATCAAATCCCAAGGCGACATAGGCCGGGACTCCATATTCACCGCAGGTTGAGAATGTTATGTGTTGTGGCCATGTTGCTATCTTGTTTGGCTATGAATAAACCTCGCCCGAGTCTAGAATTTCCTGATGTGTCCCACAAAGCAATGGAATGGGGAACTTTTCGGCATCTTCTAGCTTGGAAAAAAACATGAGCCAAAGAATATATGGGCCTGCAAGTACCAATATACTTGGAGACGAGATTGAATCACTCAATCAAATGTTGAAAAAAAGATAAAAATCATGGATGAAAGGAATGGAAGTGTCACGAAGTAAATTAATATGGAACCCAAAGATTAGTCGAAACACAAAGAGACACTTTGACCGTGGCTGATAACTCCAAGAATTGAGTTCGTCACAGTTTCATGTCGAGGACGGGGAAAACAAAGCCAGTCTTGTCAGGGCTTCGGGTAAAATACGCGTAAATAACAGAGCAAATTACCTGAATTTAACACACCAAAATTTACAGTCATGTGACTTCACATGATCTGCTCGAAAAACTAGCCACTTCTGGCCTAGCGCCTAACAAGCGAGCCCTCGTCCAAATCAGGTTAGCGCCCCAATTACCCGATCCCACAAGCAAAGTCACATAGGTTGGACTTCCTCTCTCCATCCCTCTGTCGACAACCCATCGCGATCCTCGCCCATCGCCCATCATGTGTATGTGACGACCCCTCCTTTCAGTCTGGAAGCATTATATGATATACAACCACGAATTTGCCCAAAAAAAGAAAAGCAGGAAGCGGTGGCAGAGACGGCGGTTCTCGAAATTGAATGTTGGCTAACATGGAGATTTGTCGATAACAGCGCTCGTGACCGGCGAGAAGACGAACTTCCAGTTCATCTTGCGTCTGCTCAACACCAATGTTGACGGCAAGCAGAAGATCATGTACGCGCTGACCCAGATCAAGGGTGTCGGTCGCCGTTACTCCAACCTGGTCTGCAAGAAGGCCGATGTCGACCTCACCAAGCGGTACGTTCACCACAACCCCCCATCGATTACACACATTCCCATCCATTTGTTATTCGGAGGAAACACGGGGAAGAGAGAATGGAGCAGTTTGGACCTGAAATCGACATACGAAATATCGCACAACCAATCGCACAAATATCACAAGACCAGCAAAGCTGACAAGACACTTTCTATAGTGCTGGTGAGCTCACCACCGAAGAGCTCGAGCGTATCGTGACCATCCTTCAGACCCCTACTCAGTACAAGATCCCTTCGTGGTTCCTCAACAGACAGCGCGACATCACCGATGGCAAGGACACCCAGGTTGTCTCCAACGGTCTCGACTCCAAGCTCCGTGAGGATCTCGAGCGCCTCAAGAAGATCCGCTCCCACCGTGGTCTGCGTCACTACTGGGGCCTCCGTGTCCGTGGTCAACACACCAAGACCACTGGCCGCCGCGGTCGCACCGTCGGTGTCAGCAAGAAGAAGGGCTAAATTATTCTGTTCGTTTTTTTGCCGGGGGTTCTTGGAGGGATTCCGTTATTTCCGGTGTGTTTCTATGGGCACTCGTGGTATCTTTTCCCGGCTGTCAAAAAATTGAAAATGAACCATATCAATGAAATGAACCGATCTCTTCGATTTGCTTTGCTCTTGGCCGTGGATTTTATGGGATCATCTGTGGATCAATTTACTTACTGCATGATCCTGTCTGAATCCTCGGCCCTCGTAGGGTAGAATGTCTTGCAGGCTCCATGGTATACTTGGTGAATACCTCACCTCACTGTGCGGTTGGATGTCCTAGACTGTCGGTGTGGGACAAGGCCTAAGCCATCGATCAACAACTATGGGGTACTGGGGTTAATATAATCTCACTTACGCCTATCTACGCCTATCACGAACACCCACACTTTCTGCATACATCTATAGATACTTAAATACTAGGTACACTGCACCCAAATATGTACGCCAAGCTCGACCTTGCTAAGAATAGTCCGCTTATGCGGCCTTAGGTTGTCTTTTTTTGGTAGTTTTGTTAAGTCTTTTTCAAGGTGTTTCAAGAATTTCTCAGGCATTCTTCTTAGGTGTCTTTTTTCGATAGAATGTAGGCAAATGCTTAAAATGAACAAAACTACATCCTACAACCTTTGCTTATTACTCGATGTTGAAGTCTATCCAAGATTGATTAAATTCAGAGTTGCCTAGATGTATATACTAAACAAAAGCCAAATCACCGAAAATCAGTAGAAAAACAGATGATACCAACCTCGGGGGTATGCGGCCTTTCTGAACTTCCCAGAGGATTCGGTGTCAAATTGTGCCGAAACAGCCAATCAAAAGTTCAATCACACGCAGTGTGATAAATTCATCAACGCATTGTATCATAGAGCAACATGGTCGAGTGTTTAGTACCACTCGCCACCGATCCAGCGGTTGAAGAACTCCAGGCCAGACTCAGGCTGGTCCATGGGAACCATGTGGCCACCGCCGAAGATACGCATGAAGGTGAAGTTGCCGTGGGACTTGATCTGGCCGATCTTCTTGCCAACGTGCTCGTTCTGCACAATCTTGAGGTCCTCAAGCTCGGCGGAAGCGAATTCCTTCTGGCCAGGCCACTCAAGAGCCTCGGACCAGGCCTTGTTGCCAAGCCAGTTGCAGATGAAGTCAGCATCACCGGCGTAGATCAGGACGGGGATCTGCTCAAGGAGACCGGGCACGAGACGGTGGTAAGGCTTGAACCAATCGCCATTGAAGAGGAAGTTACGGTTAATGTCAAAGTTGCATGAGTCGTAGCCATCAACCTCAGCACCGACAGCCTCGCGCACGCTCTCCTGGTCAAGGTACTCGCTGATGTAGCCCAGGCCCTTGTAGCACAGGTTGCTCTCGTCCTCACACTTGCCACGAACATCGTAAACGTTCTGACCGGTGCGCTGGTAGGGGCCAAGCATGGCGTTGTTGCAGTAGATGGAGGCCGGGACGCAAACCCAAGGGCTCTCACTGTTGTAGCAGGATTGGATCATGCTCTGGCAGCGGGACAGGGCATTGTCCATGGACTGGCAGGTGCTCTCATCCAGAACGGCGGGATAACCACCCTCACCACAGGCCATGGGGCGGTAGTACCCGTACTGAGTAAGACCGTCGGTGAGACCGTTTCCAATAAGAACAGACTTCAGGTTGATGTTGCGCTTCTTGTGGGAGAGAATCTCCGAAGCCATGACAGGGATGTAGTGGCCAGCGTAAGACTCGCCAGCAATGTGGAAGTCCTGCGTAGCGTACTCGGGGAATTGCTTGAAGAACAATGTGAGGAGAGCATAGACGTCCTTGCCGGCAGCAACACTGTCGCTGACGGAGGAGCCACTGTAGGAGTAGCCGACATTGATGGGCTGGTCCAGGAAGATCACAGAGGCATTGTTGTTCCATGAGAAATCATTGTAAATCGGCTTGATATTAGCGCCGATGGAGCTGGGTCCAAGTTCCATGAACAGTCCGGTGAGGGACGAGCAGCCGGGACCGCCGTTCAGCCACAGGACAACGGGGTCGTTCTTGGGGTCATTGCGAGACTCGAAGAACCCTTTTGGGTGTTAGATATACTATAAATAATGCAAGGACTGTTTCCAAACTCACAGTAGAAGAGGTGCTTATCGTTCTCGTTGTCATCCAGGTAACCACTGTACTGCTTCACACCGGGATCGATGCCGAGGGCGCTGGGGTCAACCTTCTTGGCGCGAAGGTTGTAGGCCTCCAGTCTGCCGTCAACCTCACGCTCCTTGGTGCCTTCAGCACCAGAAACCCAGATGTCTTGGACCTCAGCACCACTGACGTGATAATCCCAGTGCGAGTCAGGGCGGCGGGTGTGCTTCTTGGGCAGGGAAAGCAAGGGAGCGCTGTCCATGGATTCCGGGAAGTAGTTAGAGACTTCCTCCCAGAGCTGGCGCGCCTCACTAGAGAGAGACTTGAACTGGTCCTGGAGGTGCTGCAGGGGCTTGAATGCATCCGCACCCTGTTGGATCACGTTCTCCGCATGCTCGCTGTGAGCTCCGAGGACCTGCTGGAAGGACGGGGAGGCGGCCGAAGCAGCTCCCACCAAGAGAGTTGCGGACAGGACTCTCATTGCAAACTGTGGTTAAATTTCACAGCAAGAATGATGTTGATGATGAGTTGGTGATGAAGAGCGGGTACCTTGGGGTCTGGAGTCAGGCACCTCTTATCAGTAACCGTTTGCAGGAATGGCTTTTAAGAATAAGCCAGAAGAAGATAATCACTTACAATTTGAAGATACCACAAGATACTTGATAATTGGAATAAAGTTGAGGGGTTCGAAGAAGCAAGATGGTGCCCAGGTGAGGTCCTGAGCTTGTGAGATGAGGAGAAGCAGGTCCCTTGGGCCGATGACGCCGGGGACAGTCGATAAGACGAGACGGTTAGACCAATCAGATGGCCCCAAGGGGCCCGAGACCCCCATGACCTGATGATTCAGCATGAGTCACGGGATTCCAAGATTCCAAGGTTACCAGTGGCACGTGCTTGTCGACTATACCTTTTTCGGTAAGATTTCTGTACCTAGCTATCATACTGAAAACATACTACATAAAAGCCCTCGAAAACGGTAAGAACACAATAGCCAGAGGGTATTGACGAGTTAAGACGTAGCTTTCTCATCTTCCATACGAGCTCGGTAGTACGTCACCTATCATGTCAGTTCAAAATGGTTTACTTATGTGAGCACATCGTGAGTTGCTTGATATTATTGGTAGTCTTTTTATATGTTCTTTTTAGATATTATATTTTGTAGATATTTTTGCCACCGTTCTCAGTTTCATATATAGACACTAGACGAAGGCCTAATATGTGAATGTTGGCGTTCCATGTATGTATAGTTATACTTTAATTATCAATTAGGGGTTATATATATAGGTACAACCGAAGGCATACGGTACGCAATAGTGAGTAGTAAATAAGTACAGTAGAAATTAAGTACCTAACTATGTACTTAGGAGAATGTAGTTACATGAGTATGGTAAGGACAAAGGTCCTGAGGCATCAATATGTGTGCCTCAGGTTGTCAAGGATATCCGAGAAAGGAACGGTCCCCCACTTGACATCATGTGATAGTAAACGCAAATCAACTTTTAATACTCCATACTCAGTTTACATACATCCTTCGATCTTGACGGTGTCATCCATTTGGAAAGCATATTGAAAAATATATCTTGAATATCACTGCATTTTCTGGTGTCTAATTTCCCCCCACTGAAGCAACCAGCCCTCAGCGGCTTCACACACCCAAAATGCCTATCAACCAGCCCTCCAACCAGATCAAATTCACCAACGTCTCGGTAGTCCGACTAAAGAAGGGTACACCTCCGTCTTATCTATATTGCTTTGACTTTTCTAACCTTCTATCTCTATCCAGGCAAGAAGCGCTTTGAACTCGCCTGTTACAAGAACAAACTGCTCGAATACCGATCCGGCGCCGAAAAAGACCTCGACAATGTCCTCCAAGTCCCAACCGTCTTCCTCTCCGTCTCTAAAGCACAAACTGCCCCATCAGCAGAGCTAGCAAAAGCCTTCGGAACCGGTATTCCACGCGAAGAAATCCTCCAAGAGATCCTCCGCAAAGGCGAAGTGCAAGTCGGCGAGCGTGAGCGCAAAGACATCCTCGAGCGAGTGGAGAAGGAAGTACTGGATATCGTGTCAGGGCGACTAGTCGACCCCTCAACGAAGCGCGTGTACACATCTGGAATGATCCACAAGGCGTTGGATCAACTGACCTCGGCCAGCGGACAACAACAGACACAAGCGAGCGGGGAAGCGAATGGAGAAGGCGAAGATTCTAAGCCGAAGAAGCCGCTCTGGACGGGTGTTTCGGCGACCCGCTCGGCGAAGAGTCAAGCTTTGGATGCTATGAAGGCCCTTATCGCTTGGCAGCCGATCCCTGTTATGCGGGCTCGCATGCGTCTTCGTGTGACATGTCCAGTGTCCCTGCTAAAGCAGTCTGTTAAGGCTACCCCAGGTGCTGCGTCGAATAAGGATAAGGAAGCCCCCTCCAGTGGCTCAAAGAACAACAAGAAGGGGAATAAGGGATCGAAGAAGTCTAAGAAGGACGATTCAGATGTTGAGGCTGGCCAGTCTGATGTGGAAGCTGCACCAAAGGCCCCGAGTACCGTCAAGGACAAAATCATGGCCTTTATCGAATCGGTTGAATCGCAAGAAGTTGTTGGTGGGGATGAATGGGAGATTGTTGGTTTTGCCGAGCCCGGTGCGTTCAAGGGATTGAATGAACTGGTGAGCAATGAGACCCGTGGAAGAGGGCGGGTTGAGGTTTTGGATATGTCGGTCACACATGAGGATTGAATTATGGCGTTTGATTTCTCTACGGGGCTTTGCTGTACATGATATACCGATACACCGATATGACTGATGACAAAAAGTAAAAATGGTTCTTGAAATATACTGGACTTTGGCATGTCACGACTCATTCTGTCTCATTGATGGGA